GGACATTCGCAATTGTGCTGATTACAAATGCACACTCAATAAGGCATTGCAGCAACATGCCTATCCTGTTCCTGTGGTCAGTCACATCCTGGCCTCTCTCAAGGGGGGGCGTTTTTTTGCAAAGCTTGACCTAGCTCAAGCATATCAACAGCTGCCTGTTGATGATGATGCTGCTATAGCTCAGACCATTGTGACCCACAGGGGAGCCTTTAAGGTAAAAAGGCTACAGTTTGGAGTGAATGTCGCTCCTGGGATTTCCAAAGCGTAATGGAAAACACACTACGAGGTATACCAGGGGTCTGCCCCTACTTTGACGATGTCTTGATTGCAGGAGACTCCACACACATTCTAGCTGAAAGGCTTAGGGCTGTCCTGTTAAGATTCAGGAAATCAGGCCTCAAGCTCAGAAAAGACAAATGCCCGATTGGGGTGCCTTCTACTGAATTTCTGGGATTCAAAATTGATGCTGCTGGGATTCATCCTGCTGAATCCAAACTAACTGCTATTTTAGAAGCACCCAGGCCAAAGTCTAAGGCCGAACTTCAGGCCTTCCTAGGCTCCTGAATTTCTACAATTCTTTTCTTCTACATAAAGCTAGTGTAGCTGAGCCTCTTCACAGGCTACTAGACAAACCAGCTGTGTGGCTGTTGTCACAGCACATGAGGCTTGGCTTACAGAAGTCAAAGGCCTTGCTCACTTCTAACAGTGTTCTTGAACATTTCCCAACGAGTCCTCTTCCTGTGTGCATCGCTTGTGATGTCGTCCCCCTACGGGTTGGAGCTGTCCTGAGTCACCTCAGGTCTGATGGAACTCAGGTTCCTGTTGCATATTACTCCAGAACATTGTCTTCTACTGAGCGCAACTACGCTCAGATAGACAGGGAGGCTCTGGCTGTTGTTGCTGGAATTAAAAAATTCTACGATTTTCTATATGGCAGGCATTTCACGGTCTTCACTGACCATAAGCCTCTGCTGGGACTGTTTACCACACGTAAGCAGACTCCCCACATCATTTCCCCTAGAATGCTTAGGTGGTCTATATTTTTGTCTGCATATGATTTTTCATTACTCCACAAGCCTGGGAAAGAAATGGGCCATGCTGATGGCCTCAGTAGGTTGCCCCTGCCAGTAGTAGAAGCTCACCCTGCGCCAGCCTTCAACATTCTATCAATCCAAGCCTTGCCCGAGCTCCCTCTTAGTGCCAGGGATGTTACCGCTGAAACAGGTACAGATCACACACTTTCACGTGTCCGCTCCTGGGTCCTGTCCGGGTGGCCTGAGCACTGCCCTAGTCCTGAGTTTCAGAGTTTCTGGTCCAAAAGGAACGAACTGTCCCTTTCTCAGGTTTGTCTGCTTTGGGGAAACAGAGTTGTCATTCCCACCTCAATGAGGACTAGGGTCTTAGAAATCCCTCCACGAGGGTCATCCTGGCATTGTTCGTATGAAGGCTCTTGCACGCAGCCACTTGTGGTGGCCTGGTTTAGATAAAGATATTGAGGCTAAGGTACACGCATGCCACCTGTGCCAACGATCTCGCCCAGAGATGCCCCAAGCTCCTGTGCATAGATGGGAGGAAACACAGTCCCCATGGTCTAGGGTGCACATTGACTACGCTGGGCCCTTTCAGGGCCAGTTCTTCTTGGTCCTTGTTGACAGCCATTCAAAATGGCTTGAGGTTGTGCCTGTCTCATCCACCACCACTGCAAAGACTATTCAGGTACTGAGGGGGATTTTTGCTGCACACGGGCTGCCAGATGTCATTGTGTCCGACAACGGCCCTCAATTCACCTCCTCCGAATTCCAAGCTTTCTTACAGGCAAACCTGATTCGTCATGCCACGTCTGCGCCTTTTCACCCGTCCACCAACGGTATGGCTGAACGCATGGTGCGCATCGCAAAGGACGCCTTGAAGAGACTCACCTACGGGGACTGGCATCACAGGTTGGCTGACTTTCTCCTTTCTTATCGCACCACACCGTCCACTTCTACAGGGAGAAGTCCAGCTGAACTTCGTTGGGGGCGCCAACTTACTACTAGACTTGACCGGTTGCATCCGGACAGACTGCCTTCATCTACCTCACATCCTCGGGCACCTAGACAACTACTTGTGGGTGCCCCGGTTTGGGCTCGCAATTACGGGCCTGGTCATACATGGGTCCCCGCTTCTGTTTCCAGGATCACAGGTCCTCTCTCCTACGAGGTTGCCCTGGACAACGGTCGTGTCCTGCGTCAGCACATCGACCAACTTCGCTCTAGGCGAGACTTTTCTGATGAGACTCCTGGGTCTTTTCCAGGGGGGGAGGGGGACCCTTTGGAGCACAGGGAAGGGCAAGAGCTACTGCCCATCTCCGCTGAGGGAGCCACAAACGGCCCATCCCAGGATTCTGCAATTGCTCCGAAAAGGAAGTCATGGAGCTTACCCACACAACAGGCACTCACGCCTACTCCAGCCAGGGAGTCACCCCGGGAGCATACTCACTTTCCACATACATCACACAGCACTCCAGCAACGGAGGATACCCGGGGGCATCCCAACAAATCATTCCCCGCAAGAGAGCTGGCACACAATTCCCAAGGTTGGCCTGACCTTACCCCAAATCCTACATGGGGTCAAACATACACAGAGCTAGTCGAGGAACCAAGTCCCGACTACAACAACCCTAGCACAAATCAGGGAACACCTGAGTTTTGGGAAAGTACAGAAACCCACATGAGCCCGAGCACAGAATGGGGTTCAGGGATGGGACAGCCTCCTGACAGGTCTTGGACTGACCTAGGAGGTTCTACAGAGACGCCCAGCAGTGGCTATCACTTCAAGGGGCCTGAGGGTCTACAGCTAGGTAGGACAACCAGGTCACAAAGCAACAGAAGCCCTGGCCTGACGAGCCCGGTGGGCAAGCAAGCAGGCCAGGCAGGCATCGGGGCACAGTCCTTGGAAGACACCAGGGCACAATAGAGAGAACAGGCTCACGCCTCCCTCCAGTCAGGGGACTTATGCCAGTAACCCAGAGCTAAGAAGGCCACAGAGAGCAAAGAAATCTCCTAAGTATCTAGAAGATTACATAACATTGCTGGCAAGGCAAAAGCCAGTAATCAGTGGGAGCACTGAGGAGCAAAATGTCATATAAAATAAATGTTGTATGTTGGTAGTAGTTTTAGCCCGGGGGAAAGGGTGTTATGTCCCGAGCCTTTGCAAACGGCTCAGGCGTTTGCAGGCAGTCCCGGGCAGGTGCAAAGCTGCCCGGGACCAGACAGGCTGTCGCCAGCGCCGTGCGCATGCGCGGGTGCTGGCGCGGGAAAAGTAACCCATTTACCCGGTAGTTGCCTATATAAGAGGCTGCGAGGCGTTTGGGCGAGGCTGAAGCCATCTTCCTGTAAGCTGAACGCTGAATAAAAGAAACTGAGAACTCCAGCTGCTTCTCGTGTCTGTTTTCCCGCCACGGACTCAACAGTTACTGACCTATCCTTGTGAGCTGAGGAGGTTATTTAAGGTTGATTACATGAAAGAAATTGTTCTTTGGTGTGAACTATCATGTTACATAATTTAAATAGATATTTAAATATTGGCTTGTTTATACTGTGATTTTCTGCACAGTTTTCTGCACAAGAATAATTATACTCTTCTAAACCAAACCAAACTGTCAGTTACTTAATTCAAAGAACCTGACATCAGTGGCTGAGAGAGAGAGAGTGACTGGCTTTTGTGCCTAAGGCAGGACCAGAATGCACAGTTTCCTGGTTTCTAGCCTGGTGCTTTAACCACTACACCAAACTGGCTCTCATCTTGCACACATACACATAGAATGTAGGATGTATTTATCTAGGGATTAAAATGACATGTATCACAGAAGGCTGCAGAAGACTAAAGCGATTATGAAAATTGACCACACTGCCTTCCATGAATAGAAGTAGTGAGGAATAAGGAAAGAAGGCAAACCCATCACTAGCTAGAATCCATTTGTTCCTGTCTGACTCTGATTTTTCATATATCTTTTCTTGCCAAATCAGATTAGAATCCTAAAGAAAACTCTATAGAGAGGATTTTTTTTCAAATCAAACACAGTACCTCTCTTATACTGATAAATTCTGTTTAGTGTTGACTAATTATGGACGTACTTAAAACCATGGCTATTTACAATGCCACAATGATTATAATACCGCAATTTCTCCATTTTTATACCACATACTCTCATGTCTCTTAGTTTTAAAGTATGATTATAGATTACTGAAAGGAGTCACTGAATACAAAATGAGCCAATATTGCCTTTAGTTCCCATATTTACAACCACAGCACTGATAGGTTCTGTTATTTTGGTCAAAATAGTAAAACCAGTGGTGGGATTTAGCCAGTTCGCACTAGTTCGGTAGAACCGGTCGCTAATTTTTTGTTGCCCAGACCCAGAATGAACTTCCTGAAACAGCATCCACACAGAGAACCAGTTGTTCACATATTTGAATCCCACCACTGAGTAAAATCAACATGTGCCACCATGATGCACATATAAAAAGGGTAAAGCTTGAATCATAACAGTGCAGGGTTTTGTCATTTATTATTTGTCTCCTCCTCCTGTCTCTGTCCACAAGATATGCCTAATAAATAAAATAACAGTGCCTTAAATACAGTTGCCCTGACATTGGAGACACATGTTCATTTGCTTTGAACTCAAAGAGTAAGATACTAGCAGATATCAATCACTGGAAATTCTGACATGTCTGTACCAAATGTACTAGTTCCTTACTCTGAAGGTATTTATCTATCAATTTTTTGAGAAAAAAATATTTTAGACATGCATTTAAGTTGATATTTAGAGTTATTTTGAAACATCTCAAAAGTAATGTGAACATGGACAAGAACTTTGAATTTAAAAAACTCAACAACTACAAATGTGGCTGAGAAATGGCCGGATTCATCTACCTCACACTAAAGTGAAATGAGACCCCAGATAGATGTTGCACTGCTTTCAGGCTTCTACATGTATTTTTAAAGGGATACTTTAAAAATCAAACCAATCTTTCAAGATGATTCAATATCCAGTTCATTACTACTGTTTACCCATTTTCTTATATAGGTTTTGGTTAGCGGTGGAAGATCTGAAGAAGAGACCCATCCGCGATGTTCCTGTCAGAGTACAGGAAATCTGGCAAGAATTCCTGGCCCCTGGAGCACCAAGTGCCATTAATCTAGACTCAAAAAGTTATGACAAAACCACACAGAATATGAAGGAACCAGGACGATATACATTTGGTGATGCTCAGGTTGGTAGAATTGTTTGTACAGATACGTACAGTGTCTTGGTGGAGAAGTAGGGCTGTGAAAAACTGTTTCTGGCTTTACCATTCCTTTTTTAATAATATTCCAGATTAATATTTAACAAAGAGCACTATATGCATGCAATATCCTAGAAATTCAGCTTAAATTCTGTTTTAATAACTTGCTGCTAATTAAAAATAGGTTTGTGCCAATAAATCCTAGATATAATTTCTCTGAATCAACAAAAAAATCTCTAATAATAAAGTTTCTTAATAAGCATTTCATTTACTGTGGTTTATAGGCTGACCAAGTTAATTTACATTCTAGAAATAACTATGTAAGTAATGGAAACATAGTATAACCTCTCCCCCTTTCAGCTAGGTGCACATTAATCTTAAGCAGCAAATCAGCTCCTAAAGTTTTGGGAATGGCCACAGAACTACTCCAAACTGTAACTTTTAATGCAACAGAAGGTGAAAGTATGATGAAGGCAGAGTAGTGTTGTACTAAAGCAGTGGTTCTCAACCTTTTTAATGCCGCGACCCCCAACCAGTCGTAAGTCGAAGACTACTCAACCGGTCGTAAGTCGAGGACTACTCAATTGGTGGAGCACCGCTTGCAGAATGGGACTTTTGGCGGGCTCAGCAGGGCAGAGACAGCCTGGACAATTCCTATTGGCTTTTGAAAGCCAATAGAATTAGACTCTATTCAAGAGAGTCTCTTCTATTGGCTTTCAAAAGCCAATAGAATAAAAGGGAGTAGCACAGCTAAGGAAAAGGGAGAAAAAATGGCGGACTGCGTTGTTTGGCGACCCCCGTGAAATGGTCCTTCGACCCCAAATGGGGTCCCGACCCACAGGTTGAGAACCACTGTACTAAAGGAAGCCCTGCCTCTTTATACACATGATGGAGCTTGTGTCAAGATGCCACAGTGCTCTTTTCGTCACTTGTTTGCCCATCCCTCTGAGAATCCCTCTGGCTAGGGAAGAATTTGATTAACCTGAAATAATTCAATGTAATTTAAAATGAAATAACACTTTCCTTTTATCTTGATAAATGCTCTTTGGCTCAACATTACATCTGTCAGACTTGTCCGAATCTAAACCCTTAGGAAAGAAGGACCCTCAGCTCCATTTGGTTGAAGTGAAAGGTTCTTTTATTATAAAGATGTTGGCTGTAGTAAAGCTCTGGGTTTCCCACACTCAAAGGATACAGAAAGGTTTCCCCTCATCCCAGCCTTTCCCTCATTACCAGTCCATCTTCAGCCAATCAGAAATTGCCGAATTGTTTTGAGAATGCTGAGGTGTTTTGGGGTAATCCACATTCTTTCTCAGAGTGCCTGGCCTTGGATTCTGATGCAAACTGGTTCCAAGCTTCTATGGTCTTGATCACCTACCATTCCCCCCTCCCTCTTTCCCATCACGTACACACACAGCTTTATTGCCTATCTATCCTCCCTCCCCCTTCTAAGCCTTTGATGACAGGGTGCCTTTGAGGTGCCAAGCTGATCTTGGCAGGCCTGACAACATATTAATCTGCATTGAAATAAATTTTCTACAAAAAGTCAATTTTCATAGATGGTCTTTCATCCAAAACATCACATGTTATTAGCAAATTGTTCCCTTGAATTGGGATATGTTGCTTTGGATTTGGTATTTGACACTGGCGTTACCTATAAAAATGTTAGGCTGTTCTACCCCAAAATGCTACATGCGCAAGAAACTGAGTACAAGGAAAAGGTAGGACCTGACTTCAAAATATAAAACCTGTAGTTTTATACTCACATAGTTTTCATAGTTGTTTTATAGAAAGCAAGCTACTTAATTAATCCAAATCACCCTAAATCACTTTGACTAAAAATATTTATTTCCTCAAATGAATTGGAGAATATATACCCAAATTCAATCTTCTCCAAGTGTATAAACTAAATCAAATTAGTTGTGCATTTTCTAATTATAGTAGTTGAACTTCAGGCAGCTGTCCAGAGACATTGGCTGCAGCTGCCTGAATCTTATTGACAAGGCCCAGAAATGTAGAGTGACAAAAGATTATTTAAAAATGCATACAAACTTTTCTACTTGCTAAAATCTATACAGAAAATGCTAATAGTTTTTCACACCACTAGATGGCTGTCTATATACATATTTTCTATACCAGCTGTCTTGTTGGTCTCCGTAGGTTTGCATTAGTGGAAGTGATTGGATAGTGCAGTGTTTCTCAAACTTGACAACTTTAAAATGTATGAACTTCAACTCTTGGAATTCCTCAGCCAGCATGTCAAGTTGTCAGGTTTGAGAAACACTTTACTATCTTTGTTTTTCTGAGATACAGTTCTGTGTTTAAGACTATAGGCTGATATGAGCTATGTGCTTAAGCACTGCTTCTTTTGGTAGCTGTGTTATGTGAAAAATATCAGCTGGCAGCTGTCTAAACAGAAGTGCTACTGTTTAAAAATGAAGAAGTCTTTTATGTACTTTTTAATCCTGTTGCACCTTTAAAGATTGTAGAAATCCTCAAATGTTAACTTAACGGGTGACCACTTGGAAGGAAGACTTTCCAGTAGCCATTTCCAAATTGCCCTATCCTTTGTTAGCTTTTCAGCACCAGGGAAATACTTAAAAAAAACCTCTTACCTTTGAATGCTTTGTATCTTTCTTCTCCTGCTCAGTTGTTCCTTCCATCTTATTACGATGTCTCTTTTAACCTCTGTTTCTGTTAATAGATTATTTTATTTACTTTATAATTATACAAAACTCTGAGTATTTACTTATTTCAGAGACTTATAAGAAATTTATAATACAATGACATTAAAAAGATACCCATAAAACTAGAAACGCAAATGTATCAATAATATCAATGTGTGTATGTATATGTGTGTGTATATAGGTATGTGTATGTGTATGTATATGTATATAAATATGTATATAATGTGTATATGTATATAAATCTCCAAAATAAAAGTAGCCCAAATCAAAACCTGTACAAAATAAAAACATTCAAAACCTGTACAAAATAAAAATGTTTTCCTCTGTTTGAAAAAGTCTAAGGTTTTTTTGGGGTGGTGGGATGGTGAAGCAAGTACTGTAGGGTCAGCCCCAAAGGAGGATAACTTTGTTCCCTTTAGCTCACATGGGTTGGGGACCTTTTGAACCACCTAGGACATGTGCTTAAGAAAAATGCCCTATCGCCACAGATTATTACTTTTTCGTTTATGTGGAATTTCATTTATATTTTGATGATGTGTATCACTCAGGATAATATTAGCTGTACGACAAGTAAGTAAACTTAGAAATAAATTTATAAATAAATAAATAAATGTTTTATAAGCCAAATGAACAAAGAAAAAAAGCAAACATAAATAAATAAATAAATATTTTTAAACTTATTTATAACATTCATAGGCCTCCCATCTTAACTCATGGTAATTCTAGGTGGCTTACAATTATAAAACTATATAAATTAAAAACATAAATAAACTAATATAAAATCCAAAATGGTACTGTTGCTAGCCACATGCCCACCTTCCTGAGCAGTGAAAAGTTTCCAGGAACAAAAACTCTTCACCCCTGTTAGGAGAGGCTTGTTTGCAATACTATTTGGTTTATTATAAGTGAAACACAGAGCACCGAAGGCCTGGAACAGCTCAATGCCCTGCAACAGGTTACTCAAGAGAGATTTCCCATTAGCCAATTTCCAATTCCAAACTTCTGTTCTGGCTTGGTCTTCCGTGTCACATTGTGTTGTCTCTCAGTCTGCTTCCAAAAAGGACTCACTTCCCACCTTTTATTTGTCTCTGAAAGATTCATTTGCTCCTCCCATATAGTTGCTCCTCTAGACATGACAATGATTTCAACAAAATATTCAGCATTATTAACGTTTCATTCACAAGACAATATGGCATCAGACCAAACTGATTGTGATGATCCAAAACTCAGTAATCTGGCAAGAATCTCTTTTGTTTGTAGATTTTCCTTAAGCAATCATTATTTTGAGAATGTCACAGAGCCAAAATTCTGGCTGTCCTGACATTTTTGCACTACAGGTATAGAAGGATTAATTCATGCAAATTAGATAAATGGCCATTCAAAGCCTCTTTTTGCTTAAAACAAATTCCTTGTAAACTAGTTTATGCAGAAGACTGTCATAATGCTTGGACTGATGCCAATTCTTGCTAATTTCTTTAACTGAAAATCCTAAAGTTTTGCAACTTTATTAGAAATCATTTAATAAGCACTGTGTTAACAGAAACAGATTTCTAAGCTGCCCTAGGAATGTATTTAACATGTACACAATAATTGGCATTATTTTTCTTGTACCTTTTTTTTTTTAAGATCAGATTCTATTTCTATATTCTTTTATTTTAGGGGCACATCTACAAATTGATGAAAAGTGATTCATATCCACGTTTTATACGATCCAATGCCTACCAGGAATTACTGCAGGCCAAGAAGAAGGTATTATTTCATCTTTTCTGTGTATTTCTATTCTTTCAGCAGTGGTTCCTGTCTATCGTACTTTCTCTCTTTGGGTAAATGAGCTGTATATCTGGTAGGTGAAGAGTTTAGTTCAATCTGAGCATCCCATAATGATGGTGGGATCCATGCCTATATTCGTTTTGCATCTTTGCATGAGCAAATTAATTTCATGTTGACATTCATTTTGTTTCATTATGAAAGGAATTGTAGGACTATAACTCAGGAAAACAGATAAGAGCAGGTCAAAAGGTTTTAGAAAGATATACGAGTATAGTTGATGTAGTATGATTTTTACTTTGCAGCAGATATAATTTAATTGTATAAAGCTACAAACACTGAGTTTGTTTCATCTAAGTTTTTTGTAGTCAAAGATAAGGTCAATCAGGACTCAATCTATACCTAATAAATACACAACATTTTAGAGAGGTAGATCCTTGGTTAGTGGGAGTTCGGTTTTCTTGTTAGTCTTGTTCAGGATCTGTGTCTGAAAAAAAGAGTTCCAGTCAGGGTGACCGCTAAAATGTCCTCAGAAAGGTAGACAGTGACAGTAAGGAAGGAGAACATAATGAAAGAACAGACAGTGGGCTTAATGTTTCCAAAATATAGCCATAACAAATAATTTTAAATGTGTACTTACCACACTTCTTTACATACTCTTACCCATACACATTTGTCTCTAACACTCTCAGTAGTACCAAAGATGCTTTTTCGTGAGGCAACTATACTTTCTTGTTATTCTTTAAAGATGTTTTGCTTCTCATCCAAGAAGTTTCTTCATCCAGTCAGAGCTGAAGAAGCTTCTTGGATGAGAAGTGAAATGTCTTCAAAGAAAAACAAGAAAGTCCAGTTGCCTTGTGAAAAAGCATGTTTGGGACAACTATGACCCGGATGACTGAGAATCTCCATAAACACTCTCAGTACTTGCTATCCTCTACCCTCTCCTCTCCCCATTCATTCTTGGTGGGACTTTTGGCCACCAAAAGAAAGAAGAAAGAGTTGCCTTAATAGCCATTTGTTTTGCCTTACCAACCGTTGTCTTGATTGGACTATTCTGCCTCACCAATGCAAAAACTTATTGAAGACAACCAAATCAGTCTCATGGCTGAGACTTGTTCTCTTACTGTCTCAATCCCACATCCTGTTAGACATCTAGAGAGTAGGGCTAGCACCAGGGTAGGCAACCTCGGCTCTTTTATGATTCGTGGACTTCAACTCTCAGAATTCCTGAGCCAGCCATTCTGAGGGGAAAGGGAGAGGTTTCCAAGCTAAGCCATGCTGGCTCAGGAATTCTGGGAGTTGAAGTCCACGAGTCATAAAAGAGCCAAGATTGTCTACCCCTGGGCTAGCAGATCTAGATTGCAAAAACACAGACCAGTAGGTGGCAGAAGGAAACCCTCTTTGCTGCCATCTAGCCGTTGTATGGATTTTTGCAGCTCAGACTAAGTAACCCTGCAAAAGAATCCTCCAGAGTGCAATCTTCAAAAACTCCAGATTGTTCTGCATAAGCCTAGATAACTGGCTACCCTAATTCTAGTGATATGGTAAGAGTGGGTAACCTGAGCTATTCCTACCCTACCAGTAATTTTCCTTTTTGAGAAGAAAACTCTGAAAATAGATTATGTGGTTTAGAAGAATCTGGGATTACATATTCTATTTTAACTGCCCTGGTCATGGACAGTTTCTGCACATAACCAAACAAGCTGAGACCTCCTTCAGATCTTCCCACAATGTGTGTTAATGGCAAACTAAGACCTTAAGAAGTTTGATGTTGGGAAAGTTTTGATTTTTTATATTTCTTCAAAATATTTATTATTATCATGACTATTAATTTTGGAAGACCATGGATGTCATCCAGGCTCTGTGTTAGTAATTATTATTTACTTTTCTGGATGATCTAAACCCATCTACTGGGATGCTCCTTTGTATAAGCTCCCCGAAGTAAATACCGTAATGACAGACACAACTTGCTTGAGTTGTGGATAATGGGTATGCATGGATAGCCTGCTTCCACTGGTCTTGCACATCTGTATATGTAGATCTCTGTCCACACTCCATGGAGATCTTAAAAGGAGGTTCAGTTAACTCTGTTAGTTTAGAGCTCGTAATCATCAGATCTCTGGATTCAACATAGTGTACTTAGGTAGTTTGTCTCAGATTCTTATGCTGAATGTACAAAGATCCAGTAGGGAAAAAAAGTGGTGCAGAAACAATGGAGAGCAAGTTTTCTAGCTATATGTAGAATTTAATGAATAATGCTTGCATAGGAATGATTTGTTGTGTCGGTCTATAAAATTAGAAAGACAGAAGATCAGAAAACCAATAGTGCAGATTCATATCCAGTTTTGTAGTTAGTTCATATTCCTCCCCTTTAAAAGGTTAAAAGCATTAGGAAACAAACAAACAAACAAAATTAAACTATCCAAACAGCAAGTGTGAGAAGGCATCAACTAGGGATACAACAAAAATAAATTCCCTTCCAAAGCTTGTATTGGCTCTGGAACCTAATAGCAACATAGTGAGGCATTAGTTGGGCTTGTGGCAGCAGAGAAAAAACCAACTCCCTGAACAGCAGGGATCTGATCTAGATCAGAGGTCCCCAACCTTTTGGGCATCAGGGACTGGTTACGTGGAGAGAGGTTTTTCCGTGGACCGGAGGGGGGGGCATGGTTTTGTGTGCTGCTTGCATCCAGTGTATGGGGCTTTGCTTGTTTGTGCGGCCCTGTTGCTGGCATGCCGGACCTGGGGTTGGGGACCCCTGATCTAGATCACTCCACTTGTGCCATTTAGCATTTAAAAAGATACAAGGAACTTAAAGTAATGCATTGCCCTAACATTTAATAGCATATGTGCTTTGAAAACTATTTAAAATTAACACTCCTCGCTGTTGAGATACTATTAATCAGTAAATAAATGGAGATCTTTCTTAAACGGAAGAAGGCTAGTTTTTTTTAAAAAAAACAAATACTTTATGTTCTTAGATTGTGTAAGTGGTCACGTAATTGGCAGAATGTACAGGGCTCCTTGTCCTGTTTTAATTTCATGTTTTGTTTTGTATTATCCCAGTTTGATCAGCTTGGCAGTTAATTCTAAGCAAACCTCTGATCTTGTACGTCAGTGCTGTTCTTCACCCAGTGAATCAGCACTGTCAAAGCTGACCCAGGCAGACATCCATGTAAGGAGTGGGGTGGGGAGGATGAAGCATGGGACAACTGCTCTGGTTGCCAAGTGTGATTCTCTCTGCCCTGCCCCTTCCAGTGACTCTGTGTTCCTCTGCATGCCTAAGATTACATTCAGGTGGGCAACCTATACATCTCTGGGCATTTGGACCTCTCTGCACTAGGGGAAAATTGTGAGGGGAAATTTATTTCCCCTTCTATTTCTATGAGCATTTCATCTTCTGCACTTGCTTTTGTGTTGTGGGTTTCTTTTTAAGACCTTTGTGTTTTAGCAACCCATTGCTTCATTGTGCTTTTATTTTCATGGTTTTTGTTTTTTTTTGCTTTTTTGCTTTTGTTTCCCCTTTATATTTTTTTCTTTCACAAGTTGGGAAATACACTGGATCGCCGAACATCATTTGAAAAATTCACACGAAGTGTGGTAAGTTTATATCCTTGTGAGCCTTATGATTGACAGATTGTCCTCTGATATTATGTGGGTTTTGTTGACGCTGACCTCAAGCGACCAGGTGATGTTACAAGTCAGGCCCTGCTGAAATGACTGAGAATAATTTAAACAGCACAATCAAAGAAGCTGCTTAACAATGCCACCTCGATGCTGTCCCAGAAACTTTTTAAGTAACAAAATATGACAAATAAAATGTTATTAGACTGAATCCATTTCACTCTACATTTTCTGATCAAAGCCACCTTTAGGACTTGGGTCTTTTGGTTTGTTTAACAATATGTGTGTGCCAATGCCTTTGAATCTAATTTTTCAACCTTTGCACAAGTTCAAACTAAAGCATTAAACACATTTATTTTTGTAGGGCAGAAACATCCCAATTTTCCCCTGCCATAAAAACTGTACACCAACACTGAGGGCGAGCACTAACCTGTTATGAAAAGAGGTAGAAAGATCTTGGCTTCTACTCCAGTTTGTTGACTTGTCCGCTGAGTGGTGTGTGTTTCCTGTACACACGTGTGTGTGTGTGTGAGTGTGCATAAGTGTGCTGTATTGTGGCTTTTGCTGTTGCAGTCAGTTAACAAAGCTGTGTGTACTGAAGTGACAATTTATGAAGACCATCAGCAAAGATCATGGTTTTTGTTTTTTGTGTCTTCATAAACCAATTCCTTTAATAATTTCTAACTAAGCAAGATTTCAAATGTTTTTAATATAATGATAAGAACCCCATAGCAACATAGTATATCTCTGTCATGAACAGTATGATCTGGAGTACTTTGAAAGCTTGCAAGGAAAATTAGATATTTGGGGAATGGGATTTAGAAATTGATATTCAGGGGGAAAGAGTCTAATGTAATAGTAATAGAATGGAATATAAATTTAAGAATTACTGCATTTGGGACTTCGTAATCCTCTCATCCAGATCCTGTTACTTTTAAATAACCTTGGACGCTAAGAATTGTTTGAGAATTGCACCCCTGCTTATCAGCCAAATAAACAACAACAAAAAATAGTGGAGAGTTTGAAACAAAAACCCCTATTTTTGCATGGTGGTTTCACCACAGCATGTTACATTGTGGATTCTGTTATTGTTTGGGGGCAACAAGGATCTAGAAAAGCAGCACATTTGTAGATGTGTAACTGAACTCTCTATTATAACTATAAAATGATCTCTTTCGGGTCAAATTCAATCCCTGGTGACTTGCTTTATTTGGCAGCAGTGCGGAAGTAATTTGTCATGGGCTGTTTCAGGGATATTTTTTTTCCAATTCCCAATGTAACCTAGAGGAGACATCTTGTACTGGTACTTGGTGTTGTCTGAAGATCTCTAAATATTAACCAGGTACAATTCTGTTTAGCTTTTGAACCCTGAGAAGTTCAGATGCTATCATCTGCTGAGAATTTCTAACTCATGAATTCATTAAGCCCAAGTCTCAAATAGAAGATTTGTCTCTGAACTTTAAAAATATCCTCTTTGGCAATAGCTATGAAAGTTTTTAAAGCCATAACCACACATCCGCTGCACCACTGTAACAAAACTTCCTCTATTTTTCCTTTCTTGCTAGCATAGATGATCAAATTTCAACAAACTCCAGGCATGGCTTGAGTCTATCTGAAATCTGAAAAATAGCTATTAATTCAGTTGAGACTTACTGGAACTACTAAGAACAGGGCTTGGATGTCCAGTTTCTGCAGCAGAAGTATAATTGGGATTTGATGAGATGTGACAGTAAGGATAGAAGAAAGGGTAGGTTGCTGGGAGTTTTATATTAGCCAGTTGCTTCGCTTGTCAGAATGTGAGAACCAAATGTAAATTATGTATCTTTATGCTAGTGGAAGAACTAATTCAATGAGAAATTCTAAGATGGTAACTCCATCTACTTATTAAAATTAATGTATCAAATGCATAAGCTCCAGTAGGTTTTCCTTACAGAATGTTTCTAGCAATGGATCAACAGCAGAGGTTCACTGAGAAAGAAACTATTGAGGTGTATAATGCTAATACTATGTATGTCAGTAGGCATTCTGTCCTTTTTATTCAACACGGTGTGTTCTTCCTTTAATCAATCTATTGATTATGAAGCGCTAAGAAACATGAGGACCTCAAATAACTAACTAGGTTTATTACAAAAAAGCAGTCCAGCTCAATGAACGTAATGACATTTTCATCTAAATGTCCTTCTATTGTTTATTTTCCTTTGCAGACCTACTTGTACTGTATATACTGATGCCCATTCTCTAATTACTGGGCTTCTGTACCAATTGGCTACTATTATAATAGCCAGACACAACGCTATCTGGAGAGGCAGTTTGGCAGATAGCATTACCAGCTGACATGGCATAACAACAAATGAATCTCCCTAGAGTTACCTTTTGCAAGATAATTTGAGTGTGGACACAGTTAATTTGTGAAATGAGTGTGGTAGCTTCAAAATTTTCACTTGTCTTGTTGATCTCAGTGTCAAGAAACTTTAGTGTAATTATACCTAGGGCAGAAATGAGGAAAAAAAAGAGTTGTAGAAACTACCTGAATCATTTCCATCAATGACTCTGAAACTTTTGATTTTTAGAACTGCAAAACCTCTGGGGTTTTGTAGAAATATATAAATTGGTGCTGTCCATTGCTCTCAGCTCTACATTCTGCATCATATGAGAAATTCAAATGACTTTGTTTTTCTCAGCATAATAACCATTTGCTTTATCATTGACATATCATTAATATATGGCCTCTTGGCATTATTGCTAATATGTAATTAGTGATAATTATCAAAAGAAAGATCAGATCTGATGATTTTATAATAATGCAAAATTGATGTTGGGAGGTTTATATGCATTTAATTATCATCTCCAATATAAATGATAGTGCATAATGAATTAGCCATTTGATTGTTTCAATTCATTGCATTAAAATTCAGGATTTCATAATGAAGCTTAGATCGCCATTGCTGTCTTCAGAACACTGAACCTGGTATTTGGACATTAATATCAGATAATGAAAAATCTGAAAATGTGCAGGTGAAATTGGATGTTTTTTTGGAATGTAATTTTAATGGTTTCCACTGGATAAAATGTGAGAGTTTTAAGAGAGTGGTGTTTTTTCAAACACCAAACTTGCATATCTTTAGAGTGATCAAGCCTGTATTGATCAAAACAGATGTATCTCCCCTGAGTTTTTTGCATTTGGTTCTGATTCCCTTGACGATGATTGGAAGCTGGTGAACCAATCCCAGTGGATCCTCTCATTTGAGGTGATCCAAAGTTCCACCTATGCAGTTGTGCCTGAAATAACATGAATCTCTTGCTTGATACTGCAACCATCAAGTGATAAGCTGTTCATATCTGAAAGAACCCAAGGACAGACATCCTATAAATAAGGTCACCATGTGAAAAATGTTAGCTGGACAAGTAGGTGCTTGGTAATGAACTGGGTTTTCAGTGAACATGCCTCTGTCTTCTGTTTTCTTTTGTTTGTTTGTTTCTATCTTTTCTTCAGGGGAAATCGCTCACATCAAAGAGATTAACCAGTCTAGTGCAGTCCTACTAAAAAGATCATCTTGTAGCATGGAAGCAGACTCAGTCATTATACATACTTCGTAGCTCACTAATTGCCTGAAATCAGAGGACAATAGAACAAGATGTTGCATGAGCAAGGACCTGACTTGTTTTCTTTTGTGTATATCAAGGCATTACAGACTCCAAGGAACTCACTACTGTAACCTTTTGATGCCTCCATTTTGAAAACTCTCTGCTCACTTTCGCCTTCATATCAAGCTGGATCTGTGTCTATTTATTTTTTGCAATTTACAGTACATTTTTTTAAAGCTTCTGTTAGGCACAGTTTATTTACAGTGCTGTCATTCACAAACTGGAAGACATGTAAAAAAAAGAATATATTAATAAATATACCTAATATGGCATCACAGCTATTGCACAATAAATTAGCACAGAAGGTTCTGTCTCACAGATGTATTCACATCAAGAAAGAAAGTCTGTGTCTTTGTCCGTTGTCTGTAAATTCTGTTAATGTTTCTTGCATTTATTTTTATACCATATTTTAAGGGGGAAAAAGAAATCCTTTTATTCCAAATGTATTAAAACTGATCCTTTCTCTGTAAATTTGTGTATGTTTATATTGTTGTTTTATCTTTCATTAAAATATGCAGAATCTCTTTTGTTTGGTAGACTTAAGCTTCTTGACTTGGTAGAAACACAAATGAAATAATTCAAAATATTTTGAAGTATTCACTGTTTGGAGTTACATCAACAGTGACAAGAGGACCAAGAAGACCATGATTTGATTATAAAGAGGAAAAAGGGAAAGTGAGATTGATAAATTACATTAAAAAGTCTTTCCCTTCCCCATTATTCACATATTACCCAACCTTTATTTTCATTGGAATTCCAGTGTAATTTTTTTCATCCATCCCAATGAGGTTAACTATTGTAATGAACAGAAAAATTCAGGATTTGGATATTTTAAAAAAAGGTGACGGAACTCACACACATCATACAACCCGCCTTGCCTACCCTACAAGGTTCCATCCAAAAAAGGTGCCGGAACTCCGTTCTGGGCGTTCTATGAGAAAAAAAAAACCCTGGATTCATTGTACATTATGCTTTCTGTCACAATCCAGATGAGGTCTTACTGTGTGGCTTTCTATGGAATTTTACAGAGCAGCCTGACATCACTGTGTCTATATTATAAGCCTACTGTCTTTCCCACTTCTGCTTTCTTTTTTTATATATATGCTACCAGAAAAATCCTAGTTAATGTTCTTTTCATCAGTGATGTTGGCATTCTCAGTTGAAGTTTTAGCAACATCTCCTGAAAGAATATATAAGCTAACTTGGAGGTAAGGTAGAAGTATTTAACCCCAATAACTTTTTTGCCATAAGTTCATTTTCTTCAATAATGGCCACACTAAACCTCATTCCTGAAGTAGATCACAGTAAGGAAAGCAGCTGTCAACAATATGATAAAAACACAAGTAGTGACAATTATGGGGTTCTAGAATTGTAAGCATCTGCCAGCATGGTGGGAGGAGAGACAAGTAACAAAATGTGTGTTGCAACATAGAAAAACAAACTCCGTCAATTATGTACTTGCATACAACATCCAATGCAAATAAGAAAGGGTGGAGCATGTGTTATAATGTCATAATGCTTGTTTCATCTTTTTTGCATTATTATGGTTAGGAGCAGATGTGTTTGTCTGGAATCCACTCCTTGTATCTTAGTTCACCAATTCACAGAATTAGGCCAACATCAGTTTTGCTTCCTTGATTTCATTTGCTTTGGAAAGCTGCTGCTCCTATAAATATTATAGCAATAGGAATTGATTCAGCAACTGCTAAAAGGAAAGCCAGTTCAATTGCATAATTTAAGTGGTTAATTGGGCAATGCAAAATTATGCTTCAGCATCTACAGGTTCATATTATAATTGGACCATGCAGTCCTGAACAGAACGGGAATCTCTTGATCAAGATGTAAAGGGTGAGATTGCCATCCCAAATAGAAATATTCTGTTAGTGTGCATTTGAATTTATTTCTGTCCTTATAATATTTCGTTCTGGTGTTTTTATGTTAAACTCTCCCAAATGGTCTTGTAAAAGAGATGTTTTTCTTACCCAAGACTTTCTCATAGCCTGCTGGATGAACTGCAGAGGTTCTCTGCTAACAATGGTATGTGATAATTTCCAGATGCTCATACAATCAGTGTAATCTCAGAATGCTAGCAAACAAATTGTATGGTGGTCACTTAAGAGGTTGTGGAGCAGTGTTTCTCAACCTTGACAATTTTAAGGCATGTGGACATTGCTGGCTGTGGAATTCTGGGAGTTGAAGTCCACATGCCTTAAAATTGTCAAGGTTGAGAAACACTGTGTGTGGAGGGACATGTTTTTAGAAAACAACAAATTATTAGGAAAAGCTTAAAGAAAACCATCCATGAAAAAACTCCTAAACTTGATCCCCCCCCACTTCCTAAACTGTTCATTAAGAAAATTCAAGGTTGCTGCTTCCAATTATTGTTTCATATTCAGAAAATGTATGAATGTGACAATCATATTTGGAACTATGTTCATGATATGGACATTTAATAGAGAGCAATGATGCACAAGGTTTGGGTTATCCATATTATTTAGAGTAACAATCTTAGATTGGTTGGTTTATGATGCATAAAAGAATAAATCTTTTATTGTGAGGGTGCTGTACAATTTCCAAATATATTGAATACATCTGAAGTAATATTAGGATCCTGAACATAAGGGCAAAGCTACAGATTACTCAAGGAAGGTGGGATTCCAAAACTGTTGCTGGTGCAAAATTGAACTATTTATAAAAATAATACAAATAGTATATAAGTAAATAAACTATTGTACAGCTGAGCATTTTCAACATGGATACAATGCTTAACCTGCCTGTTCCCACCAATTGATTCTTCTTTTCTTGCTAGTTTTAATTTTTTCCCCCAGTTAAGGTCAGAGGCCAACAATTACATTAACCAACTTAAAAGCCATCTAGGAGGAAGTTACAGGTAATTATCAGCAGGTAGAGAATGAATTTAAACAACAACGTGCTTAAAGGAATGCTTTCAACAGAGTGTCTCTGCCCCCCAATTACTCTGACTCATTACACATATCTATATTTGCTAACATATTGTACCTTCATCTGGGTGTGAAATGACTAGCACTGATGATGTTAATCTAGTTTGGGCAATGAAACATTGGCAAGAAAATAACCAAGCTCAGAGAGCCCCAAGGACTCCCTCATTTCAACCCTTTATTGGCAACACCTTGGCCTGTTAGAATTACAGTCAAAAGGACTTATTGCAGTTTAATGGGGGGGTCTCCTCCACCTCTTCCACCCCAGTTTGTAAACATTTTTGTAGTCATAGATTTTGACTTTTCCAATCATATGTCAAAATCTAACAGCAGAAGAATGTGAAACAACCTGGTTTGCCTATTCATCTTGGTCTACAATTTTCTCCCGGACCTGTGTAATGAGAAGAGAAAGCAGGCTCCCCCTGCCACTTTTATGAGACAGGAGAATATGTGGCAGTCACAAAAAAAGACAATGTTCACCTGACCTGGTTTTAGCCTCCACAATTTTCTCTCCCCTTTTTAGGCTTTCCTGCTGTTGACCAGCCTCTCCTTTTCCCTTGCCTGATGGCAGAAAAGCAGTTTTGGAAGCTCAGTAAACTTTTATTTCTACAGAAACCAGATTTTTAGATCAAACCAGTTTGCAGTCAAAACTTTATAACAGTTTGGCTATATATTTTTTTCCTCCTGTCAGAGAAAGTGACTTGTGAAAATGCAAAAGCTGCCATTTCTGCCATCCTTTGATCCTTTTGCCAGGTCATTCTGAATTTGCTCACATTATTAAATCCATTCTTTAATATTTAATTGGCTTCCTATACAACATACAGTACATTCCATTCACATTTTTTGAAATTTTTATTTATCTGAGTTGGGGGAAAGACAGGGGTTCTTTAAAATAAAATTAGATTTACCCAATTTGCAGTGCAATCATATATGTCTGCTCAGAAACAAACTTAATCAAACCATTCTTAAATATAAATAAGGACAGTATTACAGACTTTAAAAATAAATGGTTTCCCTTCTCTTTTATTTATATTTCATATTTCTGAACCACCCAATTCACTCAAAGAGGGACTATGGGCAGTATAAATAAGAACAGTATATACAAATTAAAATATTGAAAATTTAGAATTAAAAATTTTAAAAATTATAGAATTGTAAATATTTACAAGGAGGCAAGAATAATTACACCCTCTTAAAATTAGTTGAAAAAAAAATCAAAGGTAGAGCTCAATCAACCTGACTCTATGGGGTTCTATTAGGACAGGTTAATATTTTCTTTTTAGCATATTGACTATTATGATTTAGTTACTTTATGTCCTGGAGAAATTATTGTAGTTTTAATAAAAAAACGTTTTATTTTCAAAAGTTACAATACAACTTTCAGTCATCAGTTTGAACTTCAGATTATTTCAAATGCATTCACCCATTGGTTGCAAAATAATAGCTTCAGAAGGGGTTTTTCAGTCACAGAATAAACAGTGGGACACACATTTACCCAATCCCTGCACAATGGCGGACAAAATTTTTGAGGACCTCTGACCAGTAAATTGCTATTTCTCCCTTCTCATTTTAAAACCATTTTGTATCAATATCCAGTGTAGGTTGACTCAAAACAGGTATTGTTTCTCTCTCCCTGTGGATTCTGCTCCCTGTCATCTAAGGAAGAAACAAAATCATCCTCTCCACATGTGATGGGTTCTCTCTTGGATTAATGTTGCACCCTTTCAATCACCAGCAAGCTGTTCTGCTGATTAATAACACTGTCCTACTGAGATCAATCTCTATGTTCACAACTCATAGCAAAGTTCCTGTAATGACTCCCACTGCGTAATTGTGAAAGCCATCTCAGAAATATTGCAGCCTTTTGTAACTTCCTGCAAGCAGAGTGTACATAGACATGTGAGGGAACCCATGGAGATTCCAGTGACAAGATGGAAACATTCAGAGACAGAACCCAATGGTTGCAAGACATAAACTGAGAACTTGATGCTGATAAACAGTTACTCCCCCAATATATTAAATGCTACAGCCTCCTGCATGTCTTGCTACTAAAGACATAAGAGAAGTTTGCCCTTGGCTTGGATCCACTTTTTGTACTCTGCCATCTAATGTAGAAATCCAGGCTGAGATCACATAACTTATTAAGCCCTAAATCAAGGCAACCACATTATGGCAGGACTCCCACATCATTAAAGCATAACATGGGTTTGGCTTTAGCATGTGGAATGAACTCAGCCTCTGCAGTTGCAAATCATTGTTTTGGCTTGGGGGGGGGAGGAGTGTGTGGCTCAGCACATTATGTAAGCCAATTCTATGGTGTAAATCAGTATTTTTCAACCTTGACAACTTCAAGAAGTGTGGACTTCAACTCATGGAATTCTGGGAATTGGATTACCCTTTTGAAGTTGTTAGGGCATGATGCAAGGAGTGAGAAAGAGAGATGGAGGGAGTGTGTGTGTGTGTGTGTGTGTGTGTGTATGTGTTTGGTCTAGACTCTAGTGGTTAAGGCACCAGGCTATAAACTGGGAGACTGTCAGTTCTAAACCTGCCTTAGATATGAAAACCAG